TGGCTGCTTTGAAGGGTGGACTCTTTGGCTGTGTACCCTGCTGAGGCCCCTCCCCTCCCCAAACCCCGCCCTCTCCTGGATCCAGCCCCAGAGTCTCCAGGTATTTCCCAACCCAGACCTGGCAACCCTATAGCTTACCCTTGCCTTCGACAAGCTTTGAGATTTTCCCAATATTTGCTTACTTATTTTGCTCTTCTTTCTGCTTATTTTTCCAGCGGTGGGCTTTAATGATAACCTGTTGCTAATCGCAATGGAAAGAGGGTGTGCGTGTGCAGGGAACCTTAATTGCCATTTTGGTTTCTCATTAGCAATGCCCAAATGGTAACCATCTGCCTTTGTGCTCCGAAGCAGCTCTTTAAGGCACAGTTACATCAATTAATGAGTTACATATGAGTAACATGATTTTCTCCCCCTCCCCCACGGGGCTCACAGGTGCACCTCTGCCTTGTGCCAGGAATATATTAGCAAAGTTTATTTTTCCCCGTGCATTTTATGTGCCAGACCTAAATGGGTTTTGAATGACTGGTTTGCTTTAGGAAGGAGGGAGGAAAACAGCCCTGTCATTTATTTTGCATTAGCTTAATTAATAATGCCATATAAACCTGACGAACAATCAGAAATGGAAGAGAGAGAGAGATTCACTTAGACCAGAGCTGACAAATGCATTTACCTATGCCATTTAAGGTATACTTTTTTGGGCCCCAATCCTACCCCAGGCACACACAGGACAGGGAGCAGATCCACGTGTGCTTCTGCTCCCAAAAAACTCAATTCAGGCAACGGAGGCAAACCACGGCTCCCATCAGCTGTTTTGGGAGAGAAAGAAGTAAATCTAGCCCCGTATTCTCTCCCACCATTCAACTGAGAGCCAGTTTGGTGTAGTGGTTAGGAGCGCGGACTCTAACCTGGGAGAACTGGGTTTGATTCCCCACTCCTCCACATGCAGCTGCTGGTGTGACCTTGGGTCAGTCACAAGTTCTCTCAGAGCTGTCCTCTCAAGGGCAGTCCTCAAAAGTGCTCTCTCAGCCCCACCTACCTCACAGGGTGTCTGTTGTGGGGACGGGGAGGGAAAGGAGATTGTAAGCCGCTCTGAGACTCCTTTGGGCAGTGAAGGGTGCGGTATAAATCCAATCTCTTCTTTTCTTCTTACATCAGTCTCCTCTCCACCATTTTATCCTCACACCAATCCGGTGAGGTCACCCAGCTAGCATAAGTGGGGATTCGAACCTGGGTCCAACACTCTTAACCACTACACCACATCATGTGCATGGAAGTGCAAGTCCAAGAGCATGTCACTCTCACTGGAGGGGGTACCTTTCCTTCAGATTTAACCATTGACAGCCAGATGTTGTACACATCACTGGACTGCTTTCACAGGGCTAATTCCTACTGCTTCATTATAATGACAGTCCCCGGTTAGATTGTCTGTTTCCAGTGAAGTCGTCGTCGTCGTCTTCTTCTTCTTCTTCCATCTCTCCGTGGGAAGGGGGGTGTTGCAGGGCCCGGGAAGACCCCTTTTTGTTTCCCAGTCCATCCCTGAGCGACATGCAGTCAGAAAGGTATACGCAGAAACCCTTGCAGTGCTGTAGGAGCTGCTCGTTTGCAGTTCTGGCCAATGTTCCCTCTAAGCTGTGGAGTCCTGTTAGCACAAATTCTACTTTCTGAGCTTCTGGCATTAAAGTTGTGAGCAGGTGATTTGGCTACTACATAAATTTGTCTGCTCTGGAGCCGTCCCTTCCTGAGCGAGGACAAAAATGGGTGAGCCGGAGGCTAAAAAATTGTGAGCTAGCTCACACTAACTAAGCTTAGAGGGAACACTGGTTCTGGCACTAGGGAGCGCACCCTCAGGCCGTCTCAACACTGTGACCTGGGAGTCTGGGACATGTCACTTGGATTGTGCAGGACAGCCATCTGCAGCAAATTCTGGCTAAAGTCATTGGTGGTCTTCTCTCTCTCTCTCTCTCTCTCTCTCTTTTTTGTATTTGGATTTGTACTGTTCTTTTTTTCTTTCTTTTTTTTAAAAAACCCTCCTATCTTCTCGGGATGACTGTATCTCCTGTCCCTGCTTTGAGGTTCCAAGAAGTTCAGCAAAAAGCCATTTATTAAAGAACTCATTTATTACAGTGCAGATAGCAAAGCGATCGTATCTACTGAGGAATTCATTTAAGTCTCTCTTTTTTAGCTCTCCCTTTTTTCATTTCAGTTAAACTTGCATTATCAAAGGGATCCAGGCGTACAGAGAACGTCTGGCTCTCTTTTTGTCTCGCGCTTCCTTCTGGAAAAGGTACTTATAGCTGACAAAGTACAATGCGGGTCTCTAATTTGTGAAAGCAGACATTCTCGCTTGGAATATTGTCTGGGGTTTTTTTTTGCCAGCGAAGGATGTAGCATTTTAAATTAATTTTAAAATATAAACCGAGTTCTTAGAACCTCAGTGTGCATTTTTGAAACATTCTGTTTCTGTTCCTTATTGTTAAAGAAGTTATTCATGCTGTGCTAACAGTCATGGGCCCTGGCTTCTCTGGCTCAGCCTAACTTGATCTTGTCAGCTGTCAGAAGATAAGCTGGGTCACCCCGGTTAGTACTCGGATGGGAGAAAGAAGTCCTTTTCTCCCTTTCTCCCAATACAAGAACTCATGGGCCCTCCATGAAATTGCTGAGCAGTTAGGTTAGAACGGATAAAAGGAAGTACTTCTTCACCCAAAGAGTGATTAACACATGGAATTCACTGCCACAGGAGGTGGTGGCGGCTACAAGCATGGACGGCTTCACGAGGGAATTGGATAGGCATATGGAGCAGAGGTCCATCAGTGGCTATTAGCCACAAGGTATAGATAGGAACTTTGGGGCAAGGGATACTCTGTATTCTTGGTGCTTCGTGGGGGGGGGCAACAGTGGGAGAGCTTCTAGTGTCTTGGTCCCACTGCTGGACCTCCTGGTGGCACCTGGTATTTTTGGCTACTGTGTGACAGAGTGTTGGACTGGTTTGGCCGTTGGCCTGATCCAACATTGGTTTCTCTTATGGTCTTATGAGACCACCAAAGAAGTCCAGGGTTGCGACACAGAGGTAGGCAATGGCAAACCACCTCTGTTTGTCTTTTGTCCTGACCTGGATGGCCTAGGCTAGTCTGATCTCATCAGATCTCGGAAGCTAAGCATGGTCGGCTCCGGTTAGTGTTTGGATGGGAGACCCCCACTGAGATAGTCCAGGGTTATGACACAGATGCAGGCAATGGCAGACCACCTCTGTTTGTCTCTTGCCTTCAAAACTTTTTGGGGTCACCATAAGTTGGCTGAGTCACAGTTTTCTCAGCCCAAAAGAATAAACCTAGTTCGCCACCAAAAGGGGAGGTTGAGGGGGGACATTATTGTTCCCTTTAAGTATCTGAAGGGCTGTTCCTTAGAGGAGGGCAGGGAGCTGTTCCTGTTGGCAGCAGAGGAGAGGACTCACCATCATGGGTTTGAATTAAGGGCAGGAAGGTACCGGCTGGATCTTAGGAAAAACCTTTTTTTACAGTCATTGTGTAACAGTGGAATCAGCTGCCTGGGGAGGTGGTGGTGAGCTCCCCCTCGCTGGCAGTCTTTAAGCAGCGGCTGGACAGACACTTGTCAAGGATGCTCTAGACCAGTGGTGGCGAACCTATGGCACGGGTGCCAGAGGTGGCACTCAGAGCCCTCTCTGTGGGCACGCATGCCATCGCCCGAGCCAGGCCCAGACCATCATTAAAGTGTTGGATTCTCTGCCAAATAATTTTAACTAAGTGAAAGCATTTGGGATTGCTTTCCTTACTTTGTTTGGATCATCTTTAGTTAATGTATGAGTTGTTTTTTCTAAAGTAAAACCTCAGTATTCAGGTTAAATTGCCGTGTTGGCACTTTGCGATAAATAAGTGGGTTTTGGGTCACAGTTTGGGCACTCGGTCTCTAAAAGGTTTGCCATCACTGGGATAGGCCATTGGCCTGATACAACACGACTTCTCTTATGTTCTTAAGAGCAGAGGTCCATCAGTGGCCATTAGCCACAAGGTATAGATAGGAACTGTCGGTCTGGGGCAAGTGATGCTCTGTATTCTTGGTGCTTGGGGGGCACAGTGGGAGGGTTTCTGGAGTTCTGGCCCTGCTGGTGGACCTCAGGGTTCACCATCACTGGACTAGACTGATCCTGCATTGAGCAGGGGGTTGGACTAGATGGCCTATATGACCCCTTCCAACTCTGTGATTCTATGTGTTTGCTGTTTACTGGATTGTGCCCCAGGAAAGCCTGCTTAGAATTATAGCACTACTGTGATTGAATAGGATCCTTTTTGGACCTTATGTTGTTTTGGATTTGGTATGTTGAACACCCACCCATGAATCTGCCTTATATTGAATCAGACCCTCGGTCCATCAAAGTCAGTATTGTCTACTCAGACTGGCAGCAGCTCTCCAGAGTCTCAAGGGCTTTCACACCATTTACTGCCTGGTCCTTTTGAACTAGAAATGCCAGCGATTGAACCAGGGACCTTCCGCATGCAAAGCAGATACTGTACCACTGAGCCATGGCCTCTCCTAAACAGACATTTTCATTTCATGTTAATTTTAGCCTGTGCTAAACACTTCAGGCATGCCAGACTCTAAAAGCAAATAAGTAAATGAGACACCACTCATTTAAATGCCCTGACCAGGATAGCCCAGGCTAGCCCGATCCTGTCAGATCTCAGAAGCTAAGCAGGGTCAGTCCTGGCTAGTATTTGGATGGGAGGCCTCCAAGGAATACCAGGGTCATGACACAGAGGCGGGCAGTGGCAAACCACCTCTGAAACATCTCTTGCCTTAAAATACACGCCTAGCTCGCCACCTACTGGTGCATAACACTAAAAGAGATAGAACTTCTAGCTGCCAGACTATCTTAGGATCTCCTGGCTATACTGCACACACTGCCATATGATAATCATAATAATTTAAACCCAGATTGTGAGTCAAGTGCTAATGTTGTCCCCATTTACCTCTTCCTGTTTCAGCATCCAACCTTCCCAAGGCTCAGGTGAAGACAGCATCCCTCGGACTAGCCGGAAAGGCGAGATCCCCTCTGCTACCTGTCTCAGTGCCGACAGCTCCAGAAGCCTCAGAAGAGGGTCACAAACAAGCAGAGGATTCAGCTAACGTAAGGACAAGTTGACTTCTATTCATGGGATAATGGCAAAACAAAACCCAAAAAAAGCCGTCGCAAAAAAATACATCACGGCAAGAACTAGCAACCATCACACAAGAAGAAAGACATTTCCTCTATGCAAATTTAATGTCTGCAGAAAACCTTTCAGAAGTCCCATCGTGGGAGATCCAACCATGCATGCTACCCATGATGCTTCCCTTATGCACGGTTCCATAAGAACACAAGAGAAGCCAATGTTGGATCAGGCCAATGGCCCATCCAGCCCAACACTCTGTCACACAGTGGCCAAAAATACCAGGTGCCACCAGGAGGTCCACCAGTGGGGCCCAGGACACTAGAAGCCCACTCCCACTGTTGACCCCCCCAGGCACCAGGAATATAGAGCATCACTTGCCCCAGAGTTCCTATCTATACCTTGTGGCTAATAGCCACTGATGGACCTCGGCTCCATATGCTTATCCAATTACAGTCCATGCTTGTAGCTGCCACCATCTCCTGTGTATTTTCCTCGCTGACTTTCCTGCTTTGGACAGTTTGAGGACATTTTCACCCAGTGAGAACTGGACTCAGGCTCCTTGATTTGAAATCTGCCTGCCACTTAGATGGTGCATCTGTTTTCTGCTCTCCAAGCATGCAAAAAAAATTCTACTCTCCACATCCCTGACAGCTGCATCCACTACTGTGGAGCTCCGCATGAGACTGGCACCATCCACAAAGCAAGTAGATTTCAAATCTTTGGTTTCGTGCATGGTGCACTGCCACGCACCCTCCGCATGAAGATTGCTGGAATCCACCGGATGCAGTCTTGTGCGCTGGAAGAAGGGATCTTTCCCGGGCAGCTTTAATTTCTCTGTTGCTTTCTTTCCTGTTCTGGCTCCGGCCATCCATCAGAGCGTTCGCTCAACAAGTGTAATGCCAGTTCCGTGATTGAGAGGCCATCTCCCGCTAAGCGGTATCAGGGACTGAAACAAATGATAATTGAAATGAGCGGGAAGGACAAAAGGCAGCTCGCCGGTGGGCAGAATCCATTCCGACACAATGGCATCCCAGGGCAGCCCATGGATTATTGCCGGTCCTTCTTTGCCTCTGAAAGCTTCCTGAGCCTCAGTGGCTGTGCTGCGTGGAGAAGATAAGGCAGCCCGGCCTCGTACAATTGGGAAGGGAGCAAGGAAATGGAAATGAAAGCTTTGGCTGAGATGACGGGTATAAAGAGCCATTGAATGTGAAACGGTTTCGGCTCTGAACGTCTTACTTTAGAGCAGCGGGACAAATTATTTCCCGAGCGGGTCACTTTTCAAGCACCGCAGGTGTGGGAGCACTTAGAAGAGATAATGGTGGAGGAGCCAGCGCGGCTCTTCAGGGGGTCAGAGGTCAGGCTCTCAGTTGCACTCAACCTCTCGATGTTGAATCGTTAACTCTGCCGATTCCCTTTCCTCGACCCCAGTCCTTTCACGCATGTTTCCCATTTCAAACTTCCATAAATAAATATGTTATTCATCGAATGTTCTTCTCTCGTCCTCACATTCAGCACAATCGTATTTTGAAGATATGTTTAAGGCCTAGTTTGAAAGTAGACAATACGGGAAGGGAAGGGAGATTATTTAATTTAAGAAGGATATATAGGCAAGCTGGAACGTGTTCAGAGGAGGGCAATGAAGATGGTGAGGGGTCTGGAGCAATGCTCCCTCTAAGCTGTAGAGTCCTGCAAGCAAAAAACTCCTGGCATTAAAGTTGTGAGTGAGTGATTTGGCTACTGCATAATTAGTTTGCCTTGCTTTCTCCCCAGGTGTACGAACAGGATGATCTGAGTGAACAAATGGCTAGTTTGGAGGGGCTAATGAAGCAGCTGAACGCTATCACTGGCTCTGCCTTCTGAACGATATGGAAGAGAGGAAGAATGGAGCTACCCGGGAACATTGCAGCATACCAGCGTTTCACACGTACCACCACCCAACATCCACGTCAACCATCAAGCTTACCGATGCATAATCCGAGCCCGTTCTACACAGGGATCTGCCCATCCCAGCAGGACATTGTCCGTTCCTATGGATCATGCAACAAACCTTAAGTAGAGATGAAAGAGCATCCCACAGAAGCTAGAAGGAAGATGTCTTCACAGCGGAATGGCAGAGAGTGCCTCATGGTAGTCGATAGTGCTCTGCTGATGGGCTATGCCCACCAATTCTACTGAAGTTCAGGCCCAAGACATAACAAGCTCACCCCAAGCACCAATGCCACCAGTAATCCCTCACCAGTGCAGGCTGGCACTTCCCCTTTTGTGAGGGACGGCTGACCTAGATATTTTAGGAGGCTTGCAGCAGCAGGAAATGCCTCATCTTTAAAGGTCTGGCTGCTCCCACAGAGCACCAAGGAGTCTGAGAAACAGAGTCCCCAATGCCTCCTGGTTCAGAAACTCAATGGGAGCTCCCTCTCCCTCACTCCCCCTAAGTTAATCATTGGTCCTTGCAAGTCTCCATGGCACAGCATCCAGACCTTACAGAAGATGTGACCACTGCTGCCTGCACTCTCCACCAGTCCCCACGGCCATCACCCCTTCACAAGGCTAGGTTTGGGGATCAGGGGAAATGGTGGGGGAATGTTGGCAGGCGCACCAATCAGGTACCGCCAAACTCTCCATGAACTCCGGCCAAAAAGATGAGTTTATTGGAGAGTCCTTCACAAAGGTTTGGGAAGAGCAAGCCAGTTCCAGGGCAGGCAGAGGAGAGCTGTCCCAACCGGAAGTTTTTTCCTCCTTGCCCTGTGTCTTCGGAACGCACTAAAACTAGGGATTCCAAAAACACAGAGTAAAGAAGGAGAAAACTTTGGTTTTGTGCCAGGTAAGGAAAAATCTGCTGCGTAAAATTTCACATAATGCACAGTTTTAAAAATGTCAATGTGGGGAATTTCACTACTGCCGAAAGGATCCAGATTTCCCCAGAAGTTAAATAGACAGTCCAAGATACATTGCTTGGGGGTTCCACGCATCCCTGATGCCTGCCCTAACTTTTGTTTTAGCCATGCTGATTTTAATTCTTGTGTGGCTAAGACGGGTCCAAACCATTTGGGTGCTGGTTCACACGAGGTTGGAACCTTGTGGAAGTGGGACCCAAGTGGCTCAGAATCCCAGCCACGATTATGTCCCCAGGATAATATGTAAAATGAGCATATTTGACATACTAGAGAGGTTTGTAGGGGGGTTTCATGTGTGTGTGTGTCTGTGTGTGTGTGTGTAGATCATCGACGTGCATTTTGATACACTGCAAAGTCAAGACATACTAGAATTCCTCTTGTTTCTTAATCATTGCAATGCAAAAGTATTACCACATAGCACCAAAGGGTCGGAACTATCGTAAACAGCACAAAATATGGAAAATAATATTATTGACTATTTTCATTTTTTTAGTTGTCATTTCGAGCACTCATCATGTTGCACAAATGGTGGGGAAGAGCCATTTGCTGGTAGAATGCAACCATTTGCTTGTAGAATTTATCAAGTATTTGCCGATCCTTCCATTGTTAAATGTCCGGCTAATCAGAGGATGTGCAAAGAAAAGGTTAATTTGCAGTCATGGCAGACCACCAGCTTCTGTGTAGATTGGGAATTGGAATCTGCCATGGCATCATTTTGTTCATAAGCTAACACCAGAGGCAATTCAAAATATGTGTGCTTTCCTGTATAATACTAAGCTATTTTCAGATGTGGGAAAGGAATCCCCCTCTGATCTTTTTGAACTTCTGACGTCCCACCAGGCTGCTGAGTTTCATAAACCTAAAACACAACTGCCGAAGACAATTGATTCATGTAAAAAAAGTGCTGCTGAGCTTGGTCATTGAGGGGCTTTGGCTCAGTGGCAGAGCATCTGCTTGGCATGCAGAAGGCCCCTGGTTCAATCCCCAGCATCTCCAGTTAAAAGATCTGGCATTAGGAGATGTGAAAAGACCTCTGCCTGAGACCCTGGAGAGCCGCTGCCCGTCTGAGTAGGCAATACTGACTTTGATGGACCAGCGGTCTGATTCGATATAAGGCAGCCTCATGTGTTCAAGCCAAATCTTTGTTCTTGAGAAGTGCTGGCTTTGGGTAATGATGAAGACAGCACACGTTCTAACACAGAGACAGTGAGCTGAGAGGAAGAACTGGTTGCCTGATCCTAAGAGTTGCCATGCCAGAAAATATGTCTGTATGACACAGAGTAACTGAACTGGTTCCACATCACCAAGTGTGGCATTTTGCCAGCACTGCAGGAGTCTTACTCCAAGTGCAAATGTTTACAAGCCAGTTTCTGGATTTTTTTTAAAAAATAAGACATCTTGTTACAGTCATCACATTGGGAAAAGTCAGTCAATTAAAAAGAAAAAGCCAAAACAGTTGCCACCATTTCCATCAGGACACTCACTGTGAACCTAAATGATGCCATTTTAAATATCTCCTCCCCCTCCCCATTCCGGTATTCCAGCTTTGATTCTGTTACATTGTTTGTTGACATCCCAAACCGGTGACATGAACAGAATGTCACAAGCGCTTTCCTATTGCCGAACGTTCGGCATTCGTTCAGAGCTAATCCCTGTTTTCGCAGGCGAATCACCAAAAGGGAACGAAATTTGCATATTTATCAGTTATGAGGCTGCAAAAAAAACCCAATGAGAAGGTTTCGGCTGAGTTATTGCATTCAGCACTGCCTTTGATTTCAAGCTTGAGTAGGTCATAATTTTAAGAGAGCAGGGAAAGGAGAGAGGATCTTTACATCCTAATAGCTCTTTTTATTAGGAAGGTAATTATATGTGAATTCCTGAATAAAATATTTGGAGTAAAATGGCGCAGTATCAAAAGTAATAATTCAGAATGCTTTTTTTTAAGAAAAAGTCTCACGCTGGGGGAAATATCACGGGTTGAAGAGAGAACTCAAATGCTTCATTAGAAATGCTGGTGTAGCGGAGAAAGCGTTTCCCAAAATAATACTCTTTATTCAATTTAGCCCAAGATTTTAATGCAAATGTTTTTTAATAACTAGGAAGTCTCATTTAGTATGAGAGGCTGACTTTTTAATGTTCTGACCCATTTACGGTGGGCACCCAACTGCATCTAGTTCTGGATGCTGCACAAGTCAATGTCTTGCTTCAACAAAAGCCAGACGGGAAAGATTGCATTCCCACCTGACACAGAAACTCTCTGAATTTTGAACAGGTTTGTGAGGCTAGTTTCAGTTTTTACTTTCCCAGGAGAACTTTTTATTCTGGATTTTTCAACCTCCCACATCTCAGTCATGCTGAGATTGTTAAACAGGACGAGTTCTTCTTTGGTCTTCAGGGTCTCTGTGCATCTCACAACTGGGTTCAGCATTTGCTTATTCATCCATGTTAATGATACACCTGTTCATTCGTGACATCAGAACTCATTCCTAACATCTAAACTTTCTAGAGCTCAAGACATGGAAATGGCACTCCTGCCTCTGTGGGTAGTATGGATCTGTCCATTTTCACATACTTTGAGGAGCAGTTCTGACCACCACAGATGAAATGTCAATGAGAACTTTATGGATGATCCTCCTCATAGACCTCTGCATTTCTTTGCTTCTCCTCTTCCTTTTATTGTACTTTTCCTCTGGTCCCTCTTATTCAACAACCCATGTGTCAATAACACAGCAGGTTCTCTCTGTAACAGTGCTACACATTGACAGGGAAAGTCTCTACTTCAGATGGCCAAGACCATTGCCTGGTCTCTGTTAATAAAGATCACAGTAGCTACTGCTAAAATTCACTAATCAAGCATGAAGGAATCAACTGCCATGACATCCTCTATCCCACAAATCATCCTATACCCAGTTGTTGCATAGCATTTCCTGATGGACTCAGAAGCATGTCAGATAGCCAGTTGTCACCAAAGTTCATGCAGTTCCTTTCCTTAGCCTTATTAGAATGTCTTTTCTACCATGGCATCACTTCAGAAAAGGGACTTTCTTCTAGACAAGGGAGCTACTGAATCCATCCCTATCCATCAGCATTAATGCAGTTTCAAGTCCGATTACTTCAGTGGCCCCTGCAAACGGTGCATTCAGTCCCATTCGTAATCTCTGGCTTGTCCGCACAATTATGTGCATCAAAGTTGGGATGGTCTTTCTCACTTGTACTCCATTCCCCAACAACTCCACATGATCCATGTCCCTAGATCTCACATTCCCATCCAAATACAGTGCTACCGATTCCTTCATTTTGCCAACAGGACAAATGCTAGCAGCATCAGTTTCTATCATTCAGACTCTCCATGGTACTGGGAGTTCTCACAACATATGGCGGCCACAGATGAACTTCTCCATTGCAAAATCTCTATCAGTGTTTATGTGTATCAGTGACTGACTCCCAATAGGGGATTGATACTGTGCTGTACAGACAGGTATTGGTCTATATAACTGGTCTATATCAATATGGATAACTCACACTTGGCACCCAATCAGTATATTGAATCCTTTATTGATGTGCTTCACCTCTAGACTTCTTAATGTTGGGACTGAATAGCTACAAACATAGTTCTTGCATGTCGCTTTTGTCAGCATCCGATACAGTTTGGATCCAGTAACTCCTTGGACTCATGCCTTCTGCCAATTTCCCCATCAAGTAAGCCCATCTCCACATGAAATTACCTTAACTGGGTTCTTCTCTCAGTTCCAATAGCACTGGGACCAAGCATTCTCTCCAACATCCTCAGCTCACCACAGTTGTGGTTATTTAATATCCAGACTCCCTCAAGCGGTATAGTTCAGTCTTTCAGTCTACCAGTCTTACTCTTGCAACCAAAGTTTGAGTCCAGTGGCACCTTTAAACTCAACAATTTTTAAATTCAAGATGCACACGAAAGCTCATACTTTGAATAAAGCTTTGTTG